ATAAAGTGAATGACATACAAGTCGTTGGATGATAGTCATAAAAATCTCTAATAATATTGTTGGAGTATATTTGTTTTAATGCTATTTTCAAACTTTGTTATTACAAAGTTTTGTATTTGTGCTTAAGTTCCGTACCCTCACTTTGTAAGTTATTCTTTTTATAATAATGTTTGTGAAAATTTGGAGGGATATAATGTTAAATAATATTTGGATTTTGTAATCTCAAGTTGAGATTACTTGTAGTAAAGGCTCAAAGAATACTAAGTTGTTATGGATAGTGAAAATATTTGAAGTTAAAGGGACTAGAAATAACTCCATGTAATAAAATGAATTATTACAAATTTGTGGGTTATCTCTTTTTCCTATTCTTTAAGTTACGCTTGTTGTTTCTTTTTAGTGCTCAAAAGTTTTAAAAAATATATTTGCAAAAAAGTTTTTAAGATTTACAAATACATCATTCAACCCCTTATTTTGTATTTTTATTGTTTTAATTGAAAAATGAAAAAAAAAACTGCATAATTATAATCAGATGAATGATTTTTTTTTTTGTCATATTTATGATGAAGATAATACTTGTGCAAATGAGCTATCTTCACACGCACAATTTTAAAAATCAGATTGATAATTAAATTAATAAAGGAACTAACACTAGTATATAATACACTTTTTACGTCGGCCATTTTAGGAGTTTTTACGTCATAAAAACTTCTGACGTTGAAGCGGTAGACGTAAATTTACGTCCGGACACGAAAACTGACGTAAATTTACGTTGGACATGCCAATGTCCGACGTAAAAAAGTTATAAAAAATTAAAAAAAAATTGAGTGCAAGGAGAACGGCCTGTTCTGCTTGGAAAACGGCCCGTTCTGCTGCAGATCCACCCACGCGCAAAGCATTTTCTACCTGTGAAGAAACGAGAGGGTGCAGACCCAGCTCCACGCCAACATGCTATTGAAGAAAAGAACAAGTAGTAGTGAAGATGGAAAGTAGACAGGGAAAATGAAATGAAAAATATATAAAAAAGGGAACTTGCAAACGTACCGTTCTCACAAACGTAAGCATTTGACTCGCCGTTGTCGTGGAAGCCAAAGCCACGCCGCAAGCAAAAGGCGGAGTGGAGCTCCAAAAGGCGCAGATCTGCAAAATTTTTCAAAGGCTTCAAGCCCTGTTTCAGCGGAGAGAACCAACGTACCAGCTTTCAAGTTCTCTACCAGCTTAGCACGTTCAAAGAAGCCTTGTTTTAGCAATGAAACTTCCATGGCGTAAATGGATCTTTCACGAATCTGTTTAGAGAGATCTATATTGCATAGATAAGGTGTCTATCTCTACACATCCACAACGAGATCTGCAGAAAAGCAAAGAAGGAGCTTTCTTGGAAAGCCTTGGCCTACATTTTAATATAGGAATTTTTTTACGTCGGGTATAATAAAGTCTGACGTAAAATGTAAAATTTACGTCAGATATTAGATAGTTCCGACATAGATTCTACATTTTACGTCGAACCTTATTAAGTCCGACGTAAAAAAGTTTAAAAATATTACAAAAATACTACCGCATTTTTTTTACGTCGGTTTTTGTTTAGACCGACGAGAAAATAACGACGTAAAAGACTATTTTTCTACTAGTGTAAATTCTTGGGTTACCAAAAAAAATCATTGGGTGACTAGTTGAGGCATACGACCTATAAATAAATATTATTTAATAAAGGAGGATCCAAGTATTCATCTAATTCTACATTAAATTTTAATTTAATAATTAAATTATTAAAAATTTTAATATATAAATCCAATTTACAGATTTTAAAAAAATTGAAAATTAAATGATATTTTATTATATAAATTTAAATTGAAGTATAAAATATTTTTATAATTATTTATCAATTTGAATTAATGAAATAAAGTATCAAATAATTTTTAAAAAAAAATTAAATTTGTAAATTTGTTTCATGTATTAAAAATTTTTAATTTAATGTTTAGATTGTAAAAATTTGATATAAAATATAAGTTATTGATTGAAATAAATTTATCAAAACTTAAACTTAAAATAAATAAATCTTTTCTCTATTTAATATTA